GGAGGTTTGCGGGGACGAAGCGCTTGCCTGGGAGAGGGGCTCCCCGCCAGCGGCCGGGACCGGCACCCAGGGGTCAGCCGCACCGGCCCAGGTGGAGGCTGCCGGCTCCGCTTTGGGTTTCATATCTGAAAGAAGAAGGGAAGCTGTGGAAGAGGGGAATGGCGCAGGGCACGGAGGGATGCTGAGCGGTGGGTATGTGCCCGGGAGACCACGGCTTCCAGCAGCACTGCCCGGGCATGCAACAGACTGGGCAGCAGAGGGAGGAGAAGCAGGAGGTCCTTACTGTTGCTGGGGAGGGACAGAGGCAAGGGAGAGGTTTCTGCCACTGTCCCAAGCTTTGGCAGCCTGCGAGTTGCCCCCACCTGGCATATCCCATGGGTCGGCAAATGTGTGGCTGGAGGGGGCTGGCGCCGGCCCGAATATATCTGCCAGCTCCAGGATAGAGGACTGCAAACAGAAAGGGAATTAAGAGGTGAGGGAAGCCCCGGGCAGACCTGCGGGATCGCCCCAGAGCCCAAGGCTGGCTGTGTGGCCATCCAGGCCCCCAGCGCTGTACCTGGCTTTTCTTCATCTTATCTTCTTCTTCCTCTTCCTCCCTGCCCTGGGCAGTCTCCTCTATGGCTCTCTGCAGCAGGGAATTCTCCCCTTGCCAAGCCCTCACCTCCTGTGGGGACAAGGGACAGGGCCCATGAGCTCAGCAACCCTGCAGCCAGCGCCTTCTCCAGGAGACAGACCCAGCACAAGAGCTGCCACCGCATCCCCGAAAAGTCCCAGCATCCGAGCAGACGGCTCCTCTGGGGCCGAGCCCGCCAGGGGAGTGCTCAGCAGACAGCCCGGAGCAGCGAAAGCAAAGCAGGCGCCGGAGCGAGGAGGCGTTTCAGGCTCCAGCGCTCCAGAGAGAAGCCCCAGTGCAAGGAGAGAGGAGTGCCCGGGGCTGCAGGGCACAGGTACCTTCTCATGCTCCTCTTTGCTCAGCGCGAGCGCTAGCTGCAATTGCCTTTCCTCGTCTGTACCGGAAATTGGAGGAAGTGGCTTCTGCCAACAGAGGAAATTGGGAAATTCAGCTTGCCCCCAGCTCGCGGGACTGCTTGGAGGTCCCTGTCCTCGCCACCGCCTCTCCTGCGGCCCCTTGCCTGCCTGCACGGCATCTCTGTGCCCATCCAGACAGCTTTGCCTGCGGACCCCCCGCCCGGTGCCCCT